CATCATCCCACACCCCACCCACCCTATCCCTAGTGGGCCCCAACCCATCCAACCTCTCTCCCCCTCTCTCTCTCACACACACACACACAAACACGCACTATCACTCCTCTGCGCCGCCCCCACTTAGCTCAAGCCATCGCCGACCAAACCCCATCTGCCGTAATAAACATCGATGGCACTGTCCTTCGGGTTCATTGCGAATGCAGATCGACAGGTGCAACATCATGTTCAAGCTATGGATGGCCTGGTGACTTGAAATCAAACACAAGGTACAATACGACATCGAGGATGAGAGTGGTGAGGAGTAGAGATTGAGGCATCAGCACTTCCTACAGCAACTTATCCTATGAAGTTCCTTGTGACGGGCGAGCGTTGCCATTCTCTTGTCGTCGTTCTGGGGTGGCGGGAGGTGGAGGAATTGCTATAGGGGAGCTGGACGATGTAGTTTGAAGGCAGAGGGGCTTGTCTAGGAGGGGCAAGGGCTTTCCTCTGAAAATTTGATAAGTCCTAGGGACTTAGTTGCAATTAATTTCAAAAATTTTAATATACTGCAATATTAGTTCATGCATCAAATTTGTAATTTATTAAAGATTTAATAAATTCACAATAATGATAAGTAAAATGTACAATGATGCATGTTAATATGCACATTAAAAATATCATTATACTTTTACAAAAGTAAAGATTTGCCACTGACTACACATTTAAAATTTCATAAATTCTCTAAAATGTCATCGTGCTATAAAATGCACAATAATGATAAACGAAATGCACCCTGATGGGTCCTCTCCTAGATTTGGAGTGAATCGGATGAGATGAGCTCCGATCTATTCGAACCGCCTCCAAATCGCCTTCCACACCTGCAAGAGTGCAACTTGTTTCGGCGTAGAGCCTCCGACGTTCAAATCAGTGACAGAAAGAGATGAAATAGCTCTGCTCAGAGGGAGCAGCAGCAGCAAGATGTGGAAATAGAAAGAGAATGTAAGTTAGGGTTTGGAGTTACCTCAGCCCCTTTTATAGAGGAAAATACCTGCTTGAAGTACCCAAAACGCCATTGGTCGACCGACCCGGTTGCCCGGTCTATTTGTATCCTAATCACCTCTTAGTCAGATCCGAGTCAGCTTAAGATTTCATCTTCATCAAGTTAGCCTTGAATATCCTGCCAAGTGTCTGGAGTTGTCATACATCTCCAGCCTTGATGTGTAAAGGGTCGACCTTGAGTATCGAGAGGTCAACTTGGAGTTCATGTATTGGAACATATCAGGAGGTTCTACCACTTCTCTTCGAATCGTCTTCACCTTCTTAATGCAGCAAATCGACTTCGAGTTAGTCGATTTTGATTTAGATAGAAGGTCGACATCGAGGATGTCGACCTTTTCTTCCATAGTGGACATAGAGGAAGTCGACTTAAGGGTGTCGACTTTCTCTGTTGTAGCGACGTAGAGAGAGTCGACTATAGAGGTGTCGACTTAAGGATGTCATCTTCAGAGTATTCCAGTCGACATGTAGGCGGCTCAACTCGTCAGCCGGGTCGAGTGATTGGTACTTAGACCGGTATATCATACATGACTATATCACACCCTAATAGCTGTAAAAATGCACAATAGCGTAACAGTATATTCTGCGCAGTGACGAGAATGTCCCGCACGAAAAATCAAAAGTACTAATAATTACATAAATGACACCGCTCCTTTGACCACTTTTGACCAAGATCTTTTGACCAGCTTTGGAGTGTTGATAAATCATATTTATTTTTATTTCTTTCAAAATCACCAATTCTCATTCATCCTATTTATATATACATACA